ATAGCATTTTTAATCATGAGTCAGAATTTGCAAAAAAAATGAGTCCATAAAGAGACCAGAGTCCAAGTAACTAAATTATCTTCCTAATCTACCTTCAAGTCAAAGTTTTCTAACAAGTATGTCTTCAGAAAACTCTTTAATTTTCATTATTTTAATTTTTCTTTTGAATTGTCCATTTTTCCCCTGCCAACTTCTGTATCGCCAGGAAATCCCTTCATATAGGGAAGTCTTATAGTCTCCCTTTAGCCTCATTGTGAAGCTTGGGGACTCCCCTTTTAAAAAATAAGACTGAAATTCCTGATGACATCACTCAGCACCGATGAAAACCATGTTTTCGAATCGGCACTATCATAGAAAAATAACTACGGCAGCCAGGCCAGGTGATAAATCCCCAAATTTCAACTTTACTACGTGTCATTTTGATGCTTTTGTGATGAGAACAGACTTTTGTCCACCAAACATGCTAAAATCGTTAAAAAAAAACCCAATAATATAAAAACAAAAGGTTCTGAAAATATTGTGTAACACAAAGTAATGTAAGAATTTATGGGGCAGTCAACCATTTATGAAAACGAAACGAGGTTTTACCTATAAAGGTATAAAAGAAAATCAGATTGAGCTACTTTCTTGCTTAATTATAAATGTTTGTAAAAATTGTGGGTTTATATATTATTCATTTAATAAACGGGGACTCAGGAGCATGTGGAAGAACCATACACAGCCACAACAAGGCTGGCACCACCTCATGCTACTAAGCATGATCATACACTTTTCACCCTGTTAATCCCAGGATACTCACTGACGTTGATGAAGTCATTCGTGTGTGTGTGCTGATCAGATCTTTGCATGCGTCTCTCAGCAGTCTGATATGAGCACAATGCTGAACTAACGCGTGCGTTTTGTTGTTAATTCTAGTGTGACGTCATTTGTGTTGCTCTTGTCATGCAGTTGTGGTGTTTTTAAACCAGACAAACCTGATGGATAGTCATGCAGATTCATGTAGTCTTTTATATAAGCTGAACTGATCTGTGATCAAATGTCCCTTTGCCACTCTTTCTGTCCAGGGTCCTCCTGGTCCACCTGGACCGATGGGACCACAGGGAATAAAGGTGACAAACGATTTTTTTTTTTCTGCATTATTTCAAGTAAACCATGAAAATCTTTGCTGAGCATAAAGAAACTGTAAACCTACAGCTGTTGTTGCCTCAAATGTACCGTACTGTGTCAGTGCCCAACAATTTGTAGAATTGATGGTATTTTAGAACAAATGTTTATTTTTGTGGTCTTAGGGGGATCGTGGTTTGCCTGGTCTCCCTGGGCTCGATGGAGAAAGAGTAAGTTGGTCATTTGTTTTAATCAAATGACTATTAAAAAAAATAGATTACGTTTATAAAAACGCCTGTCTTTTAATGAACTTGGCACGAAAAATAAGGAAAAAATTGTGTTTAGTTGATTATTTCTTTGTTGTAATAATGCTTCCTGGCAATAGATCTTATATTGTTGGAAAGCCTGTTTATTTCAATTTAAATGGTGCCACATTTGTTAAGGAAAACATATTTATGGGTTGAGCAGCAGGTTGCTCCCATGAAAAACTTGTCAAATCTTCTCTGCCAAGCAGCTTATTATAGCTATTAACTCCTGTTTAATATCCTTTTTTTGGTTGTTGTTAAAATGATACAAGTCTCAAGAAACAAAACATTATGGCAATCTAACAATTTATTCATTTAATAAATGGGCTGAGGAGCATGTGGAACAACCATACACAGCCACAACAGGCTGACACAACCCCCTCATGCTACTAACAAGCTTGATCAGACACTTCTGTGGAACAACATCTTATTCTTTAACCAACGTTTGTTGTAACGCATCATCACACCCAAGCTGATCCCACAGATGTTCATTGGGGTTGATATCAGGATTGCAGACAGGCCAGTCCATTCTTTCCACTCCTAAATTCTGAAGGTAGTTTCCCTGATCTGAAGCAGTGAGCAATGAGCATCTTAAAGCATAAAGTTTGGTCCCAGAATGTGGAGACATGAGAATACCACTGGTTGCAGTATCTCATCTAGTGGAATGCCAACTTCACAGCCTGTCTCTGACATACCCCATTATCTGGAACTTGGCCTTCGATCCGGAGATGGTACTAGAGCATATTCAGGTGGCTATGGTAGTTTGGTGATCACTGCCGCGGTCTTGTAATCCTGATTAAGTGATCCTGAACTGCTTGCGAGTTTGAGCCCAGGTTGTGTCAGAAAGGGCATCCAGCGTTGGCCAAATCTTTCATGCAAGTTTGTTCATGGTAGCAAGCCCTGAAGAAGGGAGCAGTTGAACGAATCTTTACTAGGGCTCACTCCATGTAATGCTGCAAACTTTTATGGAACGCCAGCCTGGAGTTGCCCTACGATACAAGCTAGTCAAGTCAAATGTGGCATGCAGACATCAACTCCCTGATGTAGCAGGGTCCACTTGCACAGGTTCTAACAATCAGGCACCTGGGGTACCAAAAACTAGACAAGAGGCAGTAGCAAAAAAAACTGTTTGGCATTAGAGGAGAAAGTTTTGTATTTCATGGGTGCAGTCTGTCTACTCAGCTACTGCTCAACCTGCAAATGCATTTTCCCAACAAATGTGGCACCATTTCCTTTCTTTATTTTGCTAAAGTTCTTCTTTAAGATTCCACATTTGTTTGATTTTTTTTTTTTTTACACATTTGCATGGTTTCACAGTATGTTGAGTTAAGATAGATCTTTTTTGCTCACATACTGTACATGATGACTTTCAGGGCTATAAAGGTTCCAAGGGAGACATGGGAATGCCAGGGGCCTCTGGGGAGAAAGGAACCACTGGTTTACCAGGCTTACCCGTAAGGATCAAACATGTTCGCCCAGCTTAAAATTTCTAAAACATTTTTGTGACGTCTGTAAATCTTTGGTCAGCTTTTATCTTAAAAGTTTTCATTCACAGGGTGTCAATGGGGCAAAAGGAGATAAAGGAGATGCAGGACTACCTGGCCCACAAGGTCCATCTGTAAGTATTGAAAGCACTGGTGCTCATCAACTGACAGCTTCCGAACCATATCTTATATTATAGCAGTGCCTTGGCCAATCAGATCACTCACTCACAACACACCCTGAGCCCCCCCCCCCCCCCAATTGATGAAACAACAGGAAAATGATAAGCAGCTGAGGTCCTAAAAATGTAAATGTCCTTGCAGTAAGAGCTGAATTCCCACATTTAAGTTGCCACTAGAAAATAAAGAAATGAGGCAAAAGTTTGTGCAGAGCCAAGTCCAAATGACCCTGAAGCTAAATATATTAGCATCAGTGAATAACGGTTTTAACATTAGTTTTATGTCAGGTGCTTCAATGATTGGATTAGGAGTTCACAGCAGTTGTGTTAACTGTGGTGATAATTGCAGTTTGTCTCTAATGTTGCTACCCTCATGTGAAAGACAAACTTTGTTTTTTGTTTGTTTGTTTTGTTTTGTTTTTGATTCTTACCACAATAGATCAATATTGGTGCTTTTTACACATTGGGAATTTAAGTGATTTTTAAGTTAACTGTCAACAGAAACTTCTCAGACAAAACGTTAAATGTGGAAAATTGATTGCTTGTTTTATATTGGGTTTTTTTTATCCTGGGAGACTATCTTTTTGCCAGAAACGCTGCCCCACACTATCTGTTTACGAGAGAAATTCATGAGTGCCCTTGAGCAAGTTTTTGGTTGAGGAACCAGAACACATTTCAAATGTTGTCCAAAGGAGGCTTTGCTGTAGAGAACTTTGTACGTAAAATGCTGTTAAGTTGTTTTATTCTTGAAGAATAATTTTGTTTTTTTATGTATATTCTTTTCAGATTGTCGGCCATCCAGGGCCACCAGGACCCCATGGGCCCCCAGGACCTATGGTGAGCTTCTTACCCTGATATTTGTTTCACTTGTGAACTTTCTGTTGAAACATCCAGAAACATAAATGTTCATTAAACGACTATACATTAAAAAAGGGATAATTGTTGATGACTGTCACAAAGTTTATGTTAAGTGTCATGAGCCACGCACTGCTAAAGAATGAGACAAACCCATTCATCGTCATGTATGGTTGCTTGTTTTGTAGCAGAAAGTGCAGAGACACAGTGTTCTGACTGAAGATGGTTCTCTGCAGAACCTTTTGGTCCCTGTTGCAACTAGTTGAAGCCATAGAAAAATGTGCGTTGTGAATGAAAGACATATTTGAAACTGTTGATTACATATAACTAGAAACGATTAATAAAAGGTACCGGTATTCACTTTACTTGCAATATTACAAAGCAGTGTTCTGGCTTGTCTCAATCTGCCATCCATCCATTACCTTCTGCTTGTTCCAGAGCTGGGTCATGGTGGCAGCATTTAGCATGGAGGCCCAGATATCTCTTTCCCCAGCCACCTCTTATATCTCTTCTGGGAGGACCTCAAGGCGTTCCCAGGCCAGCCAAGAGACATAGTCTCTTCAGCATGTCCTGGGTCTTCCCCAGGGCCTCCTCCCAGTTGGTCATGGGGTATCCTTTCCGGATACCTGAACTGGCTGCTCTCAATGGGTAGGAGCTGTGGTTCTACTCAAAGTCTCTCTCGGATAACTGAACTTCACACCAAATTTCTAAGGGAAAGTCCAGCTATCCTGTTGGAGAAAACTAATTTTGACCAGCTAAATCTCATTCTTTTGGCCACTACCCAAAGTTTGTAGCCATAGGTGAGGGTAGGAACATAGACAGACCAGTAAACAAAGAGTTCTGTCTTGACCGCAATGGACCAGCACAGAGTCTGCAATACTGCAGATGATGCTACAATCCATCTGTCAATCTCTCAATCTATTCTTCCCTCACTCATGAACAAAACCTCAAGATACTTGAACTCCACCACTTGAGGCAGAACCTCACTCCAAACCCTGAGAGAGCAATCCACCCTTTTCCAACCGAGGACCATGGCCTCAGATTTGGAGGTGCTGATTCTCATCCCAGCTGCTTCACACTTTGCTCTCGAAGCACTCTAGTGAGAGTTGAAAATCACAGAACGATTACACCAACTGGACCACATCATCTGCAAAGAGCAATGGCATCCTGAGGCCACCGAAGTGGACTCCCTCTGCCCTCTGGCTGCACCAAGAAATTCTCTCCATGAAAGTTATGAACAGAATCAGTGACAACAGGCAGCCCCTGTGGAAGTCAAACTCCAACCCTGAAGGGGTCCAACTTACTGCAGGCAATATGAACCATACTCTTGCACGACTTATATAGGGACCAAATAACCCATAGCAATTGGCA